ATATAGAAAATTCGATGGTACAGCAAATATGAATCAGTCATTGTCTGAAGCCAGGAAACAGAATGAAAATTTTGGCTTAATATGCTTATTTACATGCCTTCTTTTACCATACTTGATGCATTAAAAAGGAAGACAATGTTTTTATGCCTACTTGGAAAACTAAGAGCATCTCAATGTTTTAAATGAACATTTTCTTCCTGAATTTTAAATGGGCATTTTACAGCTCAATGAGGAAAAGAATCCTGATTTGTTCATCAGTGTAATCTCAGTCAGCAACTAAGAAATTTATGATATACTCATAATTCCTTGAATAGGAAGTCTACCACAAATATTATTCCAGACAGCAAAATACAGTGACTTAAAAATATCAAGGATTTTGCTACACTGAAAAGGCGAGACTGTTTATATCAAGTTAAAATTACACACACACACACACACACACACACACACACACACGTCAAACTAAGAATAGAAAAATATCAAGCATTTTCTTTCTTAGGAACTTGAGAAGTATTAATTATCTGCTCTATACCCCTAAAAACAGCAAACTGTTAATAGTTTTTGGTTAAAAAAATTGGAATAAGACGTTTAGTATACCAATGAGACTTCTGGAGATAGTGGAAGACCATGTTAAAAAAAAAAGAGTCTGGAAAAATTAGTAGAATTAACTGTATCAAACTGCTGATAAACCACATATCCTACTGATAACAAATAAGTAAAATCATTTTCGAATTTGAAGGAATACATTGTCTTTACAGAAATCAAAACTCTCCCAGGCATTTAGATAGTTAGCCAAATTAAACTCTGAATTTTAAAATCTGAACATATGTCACATGATTTTCCTAGAGAATAAACACATTTTAGTACATTTTATAGGCTCTTGGTTCCATTGTTGAACTTGAAAAAAAATTATGCATGGCTGAAGATCTATGTTATAGTTACACATAATGAACTTAAGAAGTATGTCTTTCCAAAGGTTTAAACAATAACTGAAAATTACATTTTGATATGTAATTATCTGTTTTAGAACATAAGAGATAATAATACTTTACGAAATTAGGATTTGTCAATTTGAAGCAACATCAGAAAATTAAGAACTGTTACAAATCTATTAAAACTTCTTCCCCCTAAGGAGTGTAAGTCAAATCATTTCTAGCATATTACAAGTAAAAAAACATTCAGCAATACTATAAGCCAAAATCTGTATGGCTTTCAAAAGAAGATAAAATATTTTTAGGACTATTCCAAAAATAAAATAAAATAAATAAAAATTATCAGTACTGGCAAAAATTAAGCACTCAATGGGAGACATATGTTTATTCTTATAGAAAGGATGCAAAACAACCCTGTAAAAAGGTGAAGTGTCTTAAAAATCTATTAGAGAAATCTATAAAGACAGTTGGATAAAGTCAGCATAATATATCTACACTGGTAAATCAACTAAGGAAAGAAATCTTGACATAACACAGAGCCTTGCACATGTAGAGGTGTTCAATAATGGTTTACTGAAATGAAGTGAGCATGAAAAAAAAAATTTTTTTAATCTGGAAAAGCAAAAAAAAAAAAAAAAGAAGGCAGTCTGAGGTTGTCTGAAAAATAAAGTAAGAGTACAAAAATCACTGTTCCCTAAGCAAGTCACTTTGAAAAAGAAAATACCTAAGCATTTTTAGAATGATGCATGGAAACTCCCTTCAGCTGGTCTCTAATAATGACTGAGCCTACTCTCAAATTCTTTCTGGAAATGTATCATGTATAAAGTCTAACTGAAATAACTATTTTAAAATTTAACTTAAATGAATGCTGTGTGTATCACCAAAGAAGGAAAAATTACCAAAAGCAGCAAGGAACCTTTTCTACTCTCCATTCAGTAAGAATCAGATGAACTCAATTCATAATTCTTCCATCTACTGTATTTATATATATATGAAAATCAGCAGAACTTTTACCTACAAGTAGGTTGTAAATACACACGTTTCACTTTCACAAGTCTGAGTGTATGTATATATATATATATATA